GAAAGAAGAATACAAGATGTTTTCTCACTAGATTTATTCAACCTGTACAGTGAAATGACTAAGAGAACTAGAAAAACTACCAGGATTTATTACTTGCAGTCATAACCTTAACAACATATTCTATGTAGAAGACATTTTGTTGACAAATTCAGAAAGAAAACTAAAAGAATTATTGGAAAAAGGTAGTTGAGGAAAGCAAAAAGAAAGGACTAACTATAAGAAGATAGAATGCATGGTCGTCAGCAAAAGGGACAGCAGACATTGTAATTTATATATTGGGGGGGGGGGGGATTTCCAAAATCAAGTAAGTGCATAATTTTAACTAGCTCGGTAGTGTTGTAACAGACAATAAAAAAAACTGTGACAACAATACAAAGTATCTGTTTATATTTCTGAGATGAGGTATTATGCACACTATTTACATTGCTCAGACTATCATCCTCATCTTTGTTGCTATATTTATTACAATATTTTGGCCGTTGTACACTACGGCCTTCTTCAGGTGGTTGGAATGTCAAACTGAACCCTTTATTTCGCTCACTGGGGTAGACTGTTCTAGTTCCATGTGCCATGTCTCCCCTCTCCAAGTTCTCCACCACCTTAACCAGGTATTGAACTCACACTCTTTGGGTCCTGTTACTGGATCTAACTAATGCCTTTATCCACTGTGCCATGTCTCCTTGAGGATACATGGCACTGTAGATAAAGAACAGGCACATGGCACAGTGGAACTAGAACAGTCTACCCCAGCAAGTGAAATAAAAGGTTCAGTTTGATATTCCAACCACCTGAAGAAGGCCTGAGCGTACAATGGTCAAAACGTTGTGATAAATATGGCAACAAAGATGAGGAATATAGTCCGAGCAATGTAAATAGTGAACAATACAAAGGTTCATAGAAATAGTGAAAGATGCCTCTCAAAAACCAAGCAGAGTATTAAAGAATTAGAAAATAGAAACAAAAGCTACTGGACCATTATTTCCTGTATTACGGTGAATGTTGGACAATTTCCTCACAGACAAAGAAGAGACTTGAAGCAACATAGATGCAGTTCAGTAAGAATAACAGACAGCATAAGAGAATTGAATAAACTTTTTAAGAGAACTGGAATTACAAAGAAACTATTGCTAACAATCGGAAAGAGACAACTGAAATTTTTGCAACACATAATGAGGAAAGAAGGCTTATAGAATTTAACTGACAGGGCACTGACGAAGTGAAATGATAGCAGAAAGGACCTATCTACTTTAGAAATCAGCATCTGAAATCCTGGTTTTTTTCTGGACTGATGCACAAACCTCTACCAACAACGTAAAATAACTATTTTACCCACAATACAAATCTGCAGGAAGTCATGAGTTACAAAACAACTTGACAAAAATAAATCATTTTATTTAAATAATTTACAGTGAATTATTTACAAGAATCGGCTGTCAAAAGATTAGCCTACTCTTTATAATTTTTTTTGAATTCTAAGCACATATGCAATTTATTATTCTAATTAAAATAAATATAATTAAAATATGAATAATAATTTAAAGTATTATGCAAACAAGAAACTACTTTTTATAAAGTTGATGAAAAAGCAAATTTACCAGATGTCATTAATTTGGAAATGCTATTTACCCAGATTTTCTTTTTAACTCAACATGATACGTGTACAGACATGCACAGTTTAAAGTATATAATGGAGTAATAGAAACTAAATTACTTTCATAATTGCATTATAAAATGTTATGAAAATGATATTTTTTGTTTTCAATGACCTCAAAAAAAGTTATTAATATCTTTAAAAGCTTCTTTGCAATAGACAAATATCTGCAATATTTTACACAAGAGAATAACGAAAAAGTAATCAGGAAAAATACAAATTTCATTACTCCTTAAATTTTTACTAATTCTTTTTAAAAACTTAAAAAATAACATAAAACTCCACTTTTTGCTTGAAATAGTTTCTGTAAATAGTTTTGTAAATAACTGTCAGCTCAAATGAAATTTTATTAAATATACTTCTAAATAAGGAATTTTTATATCAGAAAAGAAAAATATATTTGCATAAATTGAACATTGTTAATTGTTTTATATGACAAAACATCTTGATAGAAATCATGTTTTAATATATTATCAAATTTAAATGACCATTAAAAGTGAAATGTTATAAAAAGCAGACATTGATAAAAAGGTTATGATAGTCCACATTACAATTGTCAGGTCAGCTTTAGTCACATCATGCCAACACTCACATATTTCACTATGATAAAATGCTTACAAAATGGCAAACAAAACAAAATGTAGAAATGTACCTATTATTGTTCAAGTCATACTACTACTCCTAACAAAGGAAGGGGTTTTCTCTTAATCCAGAAAAGTTCCAACACCTTTTGTGAATAAATTACAATATTTTTTTTAGACAATTATCTTATATCTATTTGATTAAGTTTTATTCAGGAAAATGATTCAATATAATCAATAAGCGATTCTTACTTATAGACTTAAAGAAACCAAACTCAAATAATACTTGTATTCAAATACATCTTTGCTGCTAAATATTGCACAACTCAAACTAATTTAATTTTATCACAAAACTTAAATATTTCCTTCTTTTGGAACACAAGGCAATTCATCAATTATGAATTTCTGTTCTTTCTGGTTTTTTTTCCTTTTTTTTATTTATTTATTTATTTTGAAACATTTAACTGAAAATTATTCTATTTCCCAGCAGATAATACATTGATAATTTATCCATACTTACACATCATTTGTTTTACAGTTTTAATATGAGGAGGTGCTGAAAAGTTCTTAACCCAGCTTACTAGCCAAAAATCAGTATTCTGTTGTTTGATCATTAAAATACCGAGACACTCAAACTTTAAATCTAAATTTTGTCGTCCACTGTATCTCATTATTAATTTAGCCACATTCAGCATTTTATCACTTTTATTGTTTTTTTTTTTTTGTTTTTTATTATTCCACATTGTATCCCTAAATACTCTTGTCAGGAAAGAATATGTGTTAATTTACATATAGGATTCTTAAATTAGTGCATTTTTACCTTACTAAATTTAAGTTAAAAATAAAGCCTTATTCTGTCAGTAATATTTGCCTTTCTTCAAAGTTTCCAAATGCCAGTTATACAAATTGAGTATTGAAACTTTCTTAAACAAATTTCAGGTTCATACAAAATCTCTCAAAAGATAATCATTGAAGTTTGAAGAACAAATAATTTTTCTTTGTCTTTGTTCTTTTAAGTAATTGAAGTGTTAAGCCTAGATGTCATCCCAGCTGTAATCTTTCAGGAACCTTCTTTAACTAACAACACTTCTTGCTAGTTTTACATTTTATTTGGAGGTAAGAATTAGAACTATAATATCAATGGCTATTAATTACCACAATTTTTTGCTAATTGAGCATCATCAATTAACAGAAAATAATAATGATAGTAATATTGAGATAGATAATCAAATTAAAATGCACATTTTTTAATATCGCAATTTAAATTAATAAACTACCATTTTTACAATAGCAACAACAATAAAGAGATAAATCATTGAAACTAAATAAAAAACATGGATATGATCATACATATAGTTACTTAAACAAATACTATTTTCATTGAAAGATTTGTGTATAATTGAATCAGAGTCCTCATCTTGACATCAAAATAATAATACAAAAACTCAAGAATTCAATTGAACACATTCCTTTTTTATTGCTATGTTTTTGTTGTTTTGCATGAGAGAGAGAGCCATACAGCCTGTAACTTTTCAGACAGTTATTGAACCCATAGTTATTAAGAAACCCATAGAATAGATTGGTCAAAATGTTATGAGAACAAGAGTTCAACTGTTCAAAAACCTCTTTGAATGAAATCTGTAAAAGTTAGAAAATTGCATTCATTTCAGAAAATTTCTAAGTTTATTTTCTGTTCATGTAGACATTCAGTAATTTTTTTATATTTGTTTTTAATAAATCGAAAAAGACAAAAATTTAGTTTTTAAGATGAATATACAGGTAGCATAATGGTTATTAGTGTGGAATCAGTGAGCTAAGCTTCAAATTCTGACCACATCTGTTACATTCACTTCAAACCAATGCCAAGATATGGGTTAAATAACAGGGTAGACTGAACTCTCAAGACTTGGTAGAAGAGAGTTTAGTACTAAGACAATCAAAAAGTACTTGGAAAACACTCCATTACCTTCTCATGAAGTCACAGTAATTCACATGTATTAAAATAAAAGAACGTGTAAAGAGACACATTTAAGAAGATTTACAATATAAAACCAGATAAATAAAACAATAAAAAAAACACTAAGTTTTGAGTCTCAAGTTTTCAAGGCTATGCCAATAGATTTTCCAGGTATCGATGAAGTATTTAAGTAAAATATAAAATGGAAGCCTTTAACAACTGAATACTTCTAAACACAACACATTTTATTAGATAGTTTTCAAAATATACAAATCTGATAAATTCTCAAAGAAAAAAAAGAAAGACAATAAACATTTTCAAGTGATTTAAATAAAAACAAATGATATACTACCTTATTCATCTTATGGACAGACGTTATCCATACTTTTCAGTAGAAAAAGAAAAACAAAATAAATCAGAAGGAATATACAAAGTTGTTTTTAAAGTGTATGATAATAATAAGCTAGAAAATTCAGATAAGAAATTAGCTTCCAGTGTGAATGAAAGCAGACAAAATCCTATTACATGTACAAACATGTTGGTTGAGTTTATGACTGCTATTGAATAGTAGACAGTTCTTCTAGTAATGAACTAAGAATACTCAATGTATAACCTATGCAGATACAAAAAGACACAAGGAGTGTCAGAAAAAGATTTAAAAAAAAAAAAAAAGGTTCATTGTTAGGACATGTGACTGTTCAGTGGCTAAATATTGAAATGGAACCCATATGGTCAAAATTCACTTCTGGTTGACTTCTTTCATTATGGTCACTTTCCTTAAGATGTTGCACCTTGAAGCCTTGATATGTTCTTAAGAATGAAAAAAGGAGAGAATGAGAGAAGAGGGTAGAGAGAGGAAAGAGGAGAGTGAGGAAAGAGAGAGAGGGGAAAGAGAGGAGAGAGAGGGGAAAGGAGGAGAGGGGAGAAAGAGAGGAGGAAAGGAGGAGAGGGGAGAAAGAGAGGAGGAAAGGAGGAGAGGGGAGAAAGAGAGGAGGAAAGGAGGAGAGGAGGAAAGGAGGAGAGGAGAGAAAGAGAGGGGGAAGAAGGAGAGTGGGAGAAAGAGAGGGGGAAGAAGGAGAGTGGGAGAAAGAGAGGGGGAAACAAAGAGAAGGGAAAAGAAGGAGAGGAGGAGGAAGAGAGGGGAAGGAAGAGGGGAAAAGAAGGAGGGGGAGGAAGAGAGGGAAAAGAAGGAGAGGGGAAAGAAGGAGAGGGGAAAGAAGGAGAGGGGAAAGAAGGAGAGGGGAAAGAAGGAGAGGGGAAAGAAGGAGAGGGGAAAGAAGGAGAGGGGAGAGAGAGAGAAAGAGAGAAAATGCATAAATAATGCCAATAAATGGCATTATATATATATAACATAGGCTTAAAGAAAACTGTTTATTAGAGGCAGACAAAAGAATGGCTAAATGGGAAATGAAAAACCACAGCCACAATTGATATACATAAAAATAAAAAAAGATAAAAAAAAAACATGTTCTTGACGAGGACATAAAATATAAAGAGGCAATGATCATCATGAAAAAAAGAAAAGTTGCTACAACATTAGAATGAATACATTGGAGAACTGTTTGGCAACAACAAAGAAAAATCTACAATACATAAATAAATGTATGGAAGGACCTATGATACAAAAATCTGAATTAAGGAAAGCAATGGTAAAGATTTTAAAAAATCAAAAATACTGTAAAATCAGATGGAATTAACTATCAGTTATTGACAGCTTTAGGATTTTATATAATTCTTGAAAAATAAATTAGGTGTGAATAAATATGAATTTTTGATCAGTTCCATGAGCTATATAACTAATAATTAAGATTCTAATGAACAGATCTTATAGCAGAATCACATGGGAAACAGAACAATGTGGCTTTACTCAAAATGTGACAATGTTGTCAGAATAAGCAATATAAATGAAGAAAAAAACCTATACTGCATTTCATAAATTAAATAAAAGCATTTGACAAAGAACATTACAGAGAAACTCCTGAAATGTTAGCAAACCTTGATCTGCATGGAAAGGATATATAAATAATCTGCAATGTGGACAAATGATTTGAATTTAAATAGAGAATCAATTGAGGAATTACTCCAAAACAGAAAGAGAATGACAAGGATTGGTTTGGTTTATGGCATATCAACACCTCAATGGGTTATTTAATGCCGACAAAATTTTTATTGCTGGTAATATGTTTTTCTTCAAAAATCTATTTCTGGGAATATTTTTCCTTGAAGAAATCTATAGGCGGTAATATTTATTTCAAAAAATGTATAAATGTTTGTATTGCTGGTATTTTTTTTTAAAGTATTGCTGATAATAATTCAAAAATTATTGCTGGTAATAATTTTTTTTATTATTATTACAAAGTATTTCTGGTATTAAAACCTATTTTTCCACAAGTTTGGCTGTTAACTATTTGTCCATAGATGGGACCCGAACAAGTGCTACCACCCCAGGTCAGGGTAGACCTGGGAACACCAGCAATTAAGAGGCAGTTCTACGCTCATCAAAACCTCCTGATCAGAGGCCTTGCTGTTGGACGTAGTTTATCATCTTACCCAGGACATGAATGTAGTTTATCGTCATACCCAGGACGAGACAAGGATTGGTTTTCTCATTGGATTTATTTAAATTGTATGATAAAATGATTCTCAGAGAATTAGAATTTCTACCAGGATTTATTATAACTTATGTGATGAGGATGACATCATGTTGTTGGCAGCCTCAAAAGGTAAACTAGTACAACTATTGGATAGATGAAAGCAAGGATTTACTCTTCAGTTTAAGATAACAGAATGCACAGTTGTGAGCAAAAGGGCTAACCGAAGGCATAAGTGTGGCATCAAGGACTCCATAATCAAGTAGGTGTAGAAATTCAACTATCTAGCAATGTAATAACAGCTGAAAGTGTAACATAGAAATTCTAATGGTACACATAATCAGGGTTGAGGAAGGCTAGAGAATTAAACATTCAAAGAATACATGGAAGGCAAGAGAAGTAAAAGTAAACAGTGAGCAACTTATTTGACAAATTTAGCACATGGATGAATGAACAAGTACCAAAAAGGAAAATGAATTACAAAAGAGCAAATATTACTAAAAGAGCAACAAAAGACAGAATGCAGTAGAGAACCATCATTACCTTAGTCCTAAAGTGTGTGTGAGTGTATGTATGTATATATATATATATATATATATATATATATATAAGGAGAGAGAAAGAAATAGTCAGCATCTAATGCCGAGTATATGTCATTCAAATATACTAGAGACATGAAAAACTGTCCAGCATCAAATCAATTCTCTCAGAGAAAAGTCTGCCTTCAAGATTTTAGAAAGTCCTTGAATAGGCATAATTCACAGTATGTGATCTTACTAATAACCTAGCAATACACTATTGGCAAAAAACATTTTTTTCTTACTACAATGAATTCCAAGTATTTCATTGTTGTATGCAACTAATTATTTTGTTTCTTTCTAACAAAAATATAATAGCAACATACTTAGCCAAAAGTACATGAGTAACTTTCTACACTGACTTACTTAACCATATGGGGACACCACTACAATTGGTGTACAATATTAATAATAATTCCCCATCATAAAAATTAAGACAAATAACAACTCGCATTTTTCTCTCTAAAGATAATTGAAGATTCTTGTCACTACCTTGTATGTGTCTATTTTCCATATTAATATGATGAAAAACAAAAAACTACAATTGAAATCTATTTTGCAATTTAGGATTTTTATTGTTCAAAGAATTGTCTCATGGGCCCAAACTGAGTGATTTCATTCATAAAAAAAAAAAAAAAAAAAAAAAAAAAAAATTTCTACATTTCTAGAATCACTTGATAAGGATGAAAACAGTTATTACAATCACATGTATAAATTTTTTTTTTTTTTTTATAGAAGTTAATAATTAAATAAAAGGATGCTTCTATAATAAAACTAGATTTGTAGATTTATTAATGATCAGACTATATTGGTGAGACACTTGCAATGACTTAATACAACTGATTGTTCACCAACAGTAAACTATTTACAGACAAACAGTACTTTATTTCCTTTTCAAATCACATGAGGAGCTTTTTTCATTAGCTTGTGAAAACTTGCAAAGAATCAGTTACTGACAAAAAGGGTTATGTTACAGAAATTGAAACCCATATATTGTTCAACATGGAATTAAGAACAATGTGTGTCCCATTCAGATTAATGAAAAAAAATTTAGTTATTTTGGTAGGTTTAAAAAGCAAATTACAACATGATCGTTCTATACATTTGAATTAAAATATTCAGTGTAGCAGGCAAAAGAGAAAAATTTCTGAAGCTATAGTTAACAAAAATAGAATCTGAAAAAGATAACATACAATTTACTACACACACACACACATATATATATATATATAGGGAAAATGTATGACAAAGTGGAAAAGTTTGTGGTGCATTTCGTCATTTAGACTAAATTTGTTAATAACACATGACACCTATCTGACCACAGCTCCATCAGAACCCATTTTAACACACACAGACAAACTTATCAGACTCTATTCTAAACATAATAGTAGAAAATACAAGCAGAATAACCTCATCCATATGTAAAAAGAGATTAAAAACAATGGAAGTCTTAATAATAAAAAAAATAAAAGCCAACATGCAATAATATTAACTATGAACATGGCTACAATGTACTAACTGTGTTTGGAAAATAAAACATACCTATACCTCTACATACATACACAAAACCCATATATCCAGTTCAAAAGTAAAAATAAAATCATGCTTGATAAGGTGTTGTCATCCTTTAGGTGTTGTTAATTTGTCATATATATATATATATATATATATATATATATATATATATATATATATATATATATATAACTCTGTGTGTGTGTATGTATGTATGTATGTATGTATGTATGTATGTATGTTCGTGAACTACTTGAGAACCATAAGTCATATTTCCAAATTTGGGACATAGATTGTACTCGATACTGGGTGTGTCTGGGCAAAAAAAATTAGACATTTTTCAAAAATCAATAACTGATAAATATAATGTTTAAATGGTAATTTCCATTAGTTTGGTTGTTTTTAAACTTTCAGACTTGAAGTCTAAACCCTAAGGCCAATTTTAATGAAACTTGATAAGTGTATGCAACTTACTGTCATGCTTATTATACGCTATATTGATTTTCGTTTCTCTCGACACTGGGGCTCCCAGGGTGCACCAAAGGGACCAAAAAAAATTGAAATTGCTTCGATTTTGATGAAATATTGCATGTTTGTTACGCTCTTGCAATGAGATAGAAATCGGTTGTCAGATTTTTAAAAATGCATGAGGGAGCCCCCTGGATAACCCCATAAATCACTTGATGCATCAATTGCTTTTCAAGTGTATCTTATAGCAGTATTCCCTAATTTCAATGAAAATTTCAGTACATATTGAGATTATATCGACTAACTGAAGTAGTCACTTGGAATTCAGGGCTAAAAAGATGTGCTTTATTATTTCAATTACTATTAGTCTTAAACCTGTCTTTTGGCTTGAAATTTGGGACCCCTAGGGTAAACCAAAGGGACCCCCAAATTTAGAAATTGCTTCAATTTTGACGGAATTTTACATTTATGTTACAATCTTAAAATGAATCAAAAACGATTATCAGATTTTGAAAACTACATAAGGGGTCCCCAAGATGGCCCATGAACACCTTGCTGCCCCATTAGTCTTTCAATTGTAGTGGTTAGCAGCATTCCAATGAAAATTTGCACATAATTTGTGTTTAGATCAATCAACTCAAAATCAAAACTGACAACCGCAAGTGTCATAAATACATTATGAAAAATATCAGTTTTTCTCATGGATTTCCCTTTTTGGTACTGAAATAGTTTAGTTTGCATTAACTTGACGGCAAAAATTATATCCTTCTTTAAGAAAAAAAAGAATAAGTGCAAATGAAAGTGTGCACTGATGAAAGAAGTGCATGTAGGTATAAGATGCGTGTGCGAGATCGATCGAGATGTGTAGTGTGTACAATTGATTTTGCTCCATGTGCAATGATCGATCGGGTTATGTAGTGCGTACTATCAATTTTGCTTCACATGTAATGTTCATTAGTGCTATGTGATGAAATAAATGCAAAAAATCTCATTCGCATCAAAGATGTCATCCAGTAAAAAGTTAGGTTGCCTTCATGCATATATATTTTGAATTTTTGATACTTTAAATTTAAATTTGTGAAAATCATATTATTAAAAAAGTTTAAGCATAAATAGTAATTTTTAATTATGTATTTATCATCTTTTAATCAGCGTTTAAATAA